ATTATATGTAGATGTGTGTCTGTCTGTATGTATGTTAATTAATTAACCCGAATTTATTGTTTATTGTGAATTTTATGTTAAATGCACAATATCTAAAAGACACTCTGCTGGGTAGTGGTGGTCTCTGCCTTTGATCCCAGCACCTGGAAGGCAGAGGTAGACAGAGCTCTGTGAGTTTGAGGCTAGCCTGGTCTACATTAGTAAGTTCTAGGACAGGATAGGGTATGTAGAGAGACCCTGTCTTGATAACCCCCTCCCAACCGTCCTCCCCAACCCCCTCACCCCCCACCAAGTGCTCAGTTTAATATATTAGTGGCTCACTTCAGTTCCCCCTTAAGTATTAGCGATGCATTTTAGACTCACAGAACACTGCAACCTAGCTTTCCCTAGTTTAGCCGATCGACGGACTGATTGGTTTTTACGGTGCCAGCAGTCAGCCCAAAGACCTTTCTTTCACATGCTGGGCAGTATAACCAGCACCCTCTGACCCATCTGTGGTTTTGTTTCTTTGAAACAAGGGATCTCACTATATATCCCAGGCTGGTTTCAAATGCCTGGCGTCTAACAATCCTCCTGCCTCAGCCTCCTGAGTGGAAGGAACGAGAGCAGTCCACCGCTACCCTCGGGCCCGGTTTAGTAAATTTCTCCTCGACCAATACGATTGTGTGTCACAGAAAACATTTTATATTGTTTTAGTTTTTAAATTTCAACCAAATTCATTTATATGAAGCAAAACAAAACACAAATCTGTTCTCGAGTTGAGCGAGCCACACCGATGTCCTCTTTGTCACCTTCCCTCTGGACATTTGATGTGGACTGATTGCTTACACTGGCTGCAGTGGTGCCTCTCTTCTCTGCTTCTGAAAGTCTAGAATTAACGTTAGACTTTGAGAACACACCTACAAGTCAAAGATTAAAGGCAAAAACAAGCACCTATTGCTCAGAGCCACACCCTGCCCCGCCCTGCCTTGCATGTAGCACCTTTAAGGGGCAATACAGCTGGTGAAATCTTGCTCAAACACTTGCGGTCTTGCAGTAAAACTTAGTGAGAATCTTACCCATGTGGTGGTTCCTCTTGAAAGCTGCTTGGCTCCTCACCAACCCTGGCCCTGCACTACTCTGGGAAAGCTTAGCAAGATTGGGAAACCTAGCTGGTGTCTCCAAATGATGGCAGTCGCTCAGTCAGTCTGGCTTGGTGTCTCCAGCCATCACTGTTGGGGTTTGTGGTGATTTGAATATAATTGGCTTCCATAAGCTCCTAGGGAGTGGTAGGTGTGGCCTTGTTGGAAGTGTGTCACTGCGGAGGCGGGCTTTGAGGTTTCATATAGGCTCAAGCCACACTCAGTGTCTCAGTCCAATTCCTGTCGCCTGTGCAGGATGTAGGACTCTCAGCTACCTCTCCAGCACCTTGTCCTTGCCTGTATGCCACCATGTCCCACCATATGATAATGGATTAAATCTCTGAACTGTTAGACACCCAAATAAATTTTTTTGTAAGAGTTGCTGTAGTCATGGTATCTCTTCACAGCATTAGAAACCTCAACTAAGAAAAAGTTTGAATTGTGACTTCCTTTAGGTCATATATGCAAGTCCAAGCCCTAGTCATTTAATTTATTTATTGTGTGTGTGTGTGTGTGTGTGTGTGCGTGTGCACATGCATACATGGCATGCAACATGTGGAGGTCAGAGAGCAACCCAAGGGAGTCAGTTCTCTCCTTCCACTGTATGGGTCCACTGGCGGTTGAGTTCAGGTCATCAGGCTCGGTGGCAAGCACCTTTGTTTGCTGGGCTACCTTGCTGGCTCTCATTTTTAAAACATCTCTTATAGAGCTTTATTTAATTATTGAAAAGATCCAAACACTGTGTTTGAAGAAACAGACCTACATCTTGTTGTTTGGTTGGGTACCCTCCTGAGAAACTCAGTCTTACTCTCTCATCTGCTTCCTCTGCTTGGCATTATGTGGTTGCACCCCACTTTCCTTCTTTTCTCTCCCCCTCCCTACTTCCTAATAGGCGTTCTGTACCCCAATAATAGGCTTCTCCACTGATACAGTAAGCCAGATCAAGTTGAATTAAAAAGTAAAAGACCAGGTTTAGTCTGAGCAAAGTAACTCCTGGGTGACTCCTGCAGCCCCCAGAGATTGAGGAGGGAGAAGGCACAGAAAAAAAAAATCACATGATCAAACTAAAGGAGCTTAAATACCCTCTGGGCACAGGGTGATGCCGCCTCTGCCATGAGCTGGGTTTGTGCCCAGTCATGATGCTTTAGGAGGGGACTGGGCAGCTGGCAGCTTCAGTCAGGGGTGTGGAAGTTGACTTTTTGGTGGTTTTTCTGAGAGGGTGGGGTTTGGAGAGGCAGGAATGGGGCTTTCGAGGGGTGAGCTGTTCCAGCAAAACACTTCTCTCTCTTTCCTTCTAGATGATGCTTTATTTTTGTTTATGAGTATTTGTCTGTGTGTATGCATGTGCACCAGAAAAACGTGTCAAATCCCCTGGAACTGAAGTTACAGATGGTGGTGAGCTGCCATGCGGGTGCTGGACACCAAACCCAGGTTCTCCAAAAGAGCAATATCCCCTCTTAAGTGCTAAGCCATTGTTCCGGTCCCCTGTATTGCCTTTCTTTGGTTAGTGTTGCTCATTTGTACAGAACTAGCCACGAACAAAACAAAGCACTGTTCCTTTCGCATGTCCTGGCATCTGCCCAGGAACGTGGGCCAGGTCTCCTTTTAAAAAGCATTGGAAAGCTCACGGAGACTTGTGTGTGACTTGCCAATCCAACAACAGAATGTAAATGTCCTTTCTCCCCACTCTTTCCTACCTCCATTCTCCTCATCCCCAGAGGGTCAAGGATCCTTCCAGAAAGAGGCTGTGTGTTTACAAAGAAATACATGGACACATTTGGCCCGGGAGTGAGAGATTCTATTTGTCAGTACATCTCCAAAGCCACTGTCTGCTCAGCAGAGCACAGCTTGTCATTTTATCTGGCAGCAGTGTGAACAGGGCTTCTGGATGTTATTTGATGGGGTGTGAACAGGGCTTCTGGATGTTATTTGATGGGGTGTGAACAGGGCTTCTGGATGTTATTTGATGGGGTGTGAACAGGGCGTCTAGGACCTTCTCAGCCTACAGCCTCTTCTCACCAGAGAGATGGTTATATAACGGGGTCTATGCAGGTGTAACTACGCTAATATTACCAATGGTAAACCATAGTGAAGCTTATTTCAGAGTGATTACATATATAGAGAGATGATATCACCATGTGTTAAATAGGAGAGAAGCAATTGTATGAATGAGATGGGTGTGCTTATTTATTTTTATGTAAACAACTAAAACTTGACAATATTTGACACTGCAGTGTGCGGGACGTCTGACCATTTCTTAACGCCCATTGATGGTTTGATCTTAGAATTATCAGTGCCGAGGGCGCTGCTTTGCTTAAGAACAGAGTGCAACATGGTGGAAATGTGCTGAGCCACACCTCAGGAATCATTGGAAATTTGGTCCTAGTCCTAAGACAGAATTTATTTCATGATTTTAAAAAATAAAACCCAAGTCAGCTTTTTTTTTTAATTTTTGTTTTTATCTAGCCTTCTAACACAATGTGGGCCACACCTACAACAGTTTTAACAACTGTAGCCTTCTAACACAATGTGGGCCACACCTACAACAGTTTGATACTTACACATTGAGAGGAATGAGAGGGAAACACTGCGAGTCTCTGTTTTCTGCAATGGAGCCTTGATGTGTCTCTGAGAGCAGAACACCGCTGCTGTTCCCGACCCACAGTGGTCTCGGTGGGAGCCGAGGTGCTGCCGCAGGGGTCACTGCTATTGGGTGGTGTGACAGTGCTTGGAGGACAGTGCAGTTGTGTGTTCGGAACCAACAGTGACGTCACCAGAGGTGACAAGCATGAGCATTGCCGAGAGCACCTCAGAGTCTTATGTGTTTGATTGATCTGGAGTTAGTTTTTGGTTATTGCACATTCAGAGATCTTTGCTGTCCCCAAACTTCCCGGACCCTGCATTTAGTTACGTATGGACTCGCAGCTTAAGGAGCTGGGGTGTAGAGTTTCTTTTGTGGATGCTGCATGCGTAAATTGTGAGTTTCTGATAGGTGGATTCTCAGGGTGTTGACAACCCTTTGCTCTTGTAAGCAGAAGTGTTAAAAAAAAAATCCTTGGACACAGTTACTTTCCCAACATGGTTGCTATAAAATGAGTTTCTAGGCTGGGCGGTGGTGGTGCATGCCTTTAATCCCAAACCTCAGGAGGCAGAGGCAGGCGGATCTCTGGGAGTTTGAGGCCAGCCTGGTCTACAGGAGCTAATTCCAGGAAAGCTAGGGCTATTACACAGAGAAACCCTGTCTTGAAAAACAAAACAAAACAAAACAAAAAAATAAAACCACAAAAAACAAACAAACAAAAAAAGAGTTTCTAGATATGGAATTGTTGGGTCAAGGGTCTATGTGATTATAATGTCGGTGGAGACCACCACAAAGAAGAGGTAACCCCACCACCACCACCACAGCAAAATACCAAGGCCTATTTGTTCTTCCATCTTCACCAACATGGTGAGAATGTAGGAGGCATACAGTTCACTCTGTGTTGCTGGAGCAAGGCGTCAGTAGCTGGGTACTTTATAAAGAAAATAAGTCTATTTGGCTTATGATTCCAGCACCTGGAAGGTCCAGACCGCCTGTTGCTCTGTAACATGGTGGGGGAAGGAGGAGAGCTGGCTGCTTGCTGAGGGGACCATGCACAAGCGGTCTAGCCCCTTAACCAAGTGCTTCCAAGAGAACTACAGTAAACCCATCTAAGGATGGTGCCTCCATGTCTTAGTCAGTCTTGTTCTACTGTAGACCAAGGTGCAAGGTTGGGTCTCACTGGGACAGAAACAGTCCTTGGAGCACAGGATTGTCTGGGTGCGTGATAGCCTGGCTTCTCACGCCTGCTCCCTGTGGCCGAGTCACTGAGCCGTGTCCTTGTCTCTATGTCTCTGCAGAGCAAGCTGGTCAAGTACTTCAGCCGGCAGCTGTCCTGCAAGAAGAAGGTGGCCCTGCAGGAGCGCAATGCCGAACTGGACGGCTTCCCCCAGCTCCGTCACTGGTTCCGGATCGTGGACGTGCGCAAGGAAGTCCTGGAGGTGACCACAGGCTGTCCCAAACCCCTTGGCCCTCACTGGCTGGAGACCACCTTTGCTACTTCCTAGATGGCAGGGCGTGGGATATGCCTAGCACAGACCCAGGCACATAGCAGGCCCTCAGTATGCCAGACGAAGGCTTGCAGGATCTCAGAAGTCTCTGAGTGGGACTGTTGAGGGCAAGGCTCTCAAGCCAGCATTTGTAGTGGGGGTGTGGGGGTGGCCTAGAGTCAGGATTTTATTCAGATCTGCCATGAAATGGAGTCACCCTAAGCCACCATGTTGACCAGTGCTGCCCACTGACTTTTTGCTGTGGTGGGGGTATTTTGTTTGTGTTGTCTGATAGAGCAGCCATGGTAACTACAGCTCCTGGAGCTCTAGGATTAGTGTGGGGGACCAAGGATCCAGATTTTGAATTGTATTTGATGTAAATGACCGGCCATTGCTGCCATTTTGGATTGTAGAGATTCAGGACACCAGCCTTTCCACGTGGGTCATGAGGCGGGAGGGTCGCTCAGTGGGTGAAGCGCCTGCCGTGCAAACACGGGGCCTGAGTCGAGTCCTTAGAACCCACGTGCAAAAGCTGCGTGTGAAGACATGTACTGGTAATGCCAGCACTGCGGAGGCAGAAACAGGTGGATCTCACACACACACACACACACACACACACACACACACCAGCATGCATGGATTTTTTTTTTTTTGATTTTTCGAGACAGGGTTTCTCCGTAGCTTTTGGTTCCTGTCCTGGAACTAGCTCTTGTAGACCAGGCTGGCCTCGAACTCACAGAGATCCGCCTGCCTCTGCCTCCCGAGTGCTGGGATTAAAGGCGTGCGCCACCATCGCCCGGCAGCATGCATGGATTTTTGCACCCCTAGTTTCGCTTCCAGGATGCCCAGAATACCTAGGGCAGTGTATTTCTTACAATATTCTTAGGATGAATGAAAGGCCACATTTTAGTTTTCTTTCCGATTATTGTGATGAAAGCAACTTTTCTTTTTTTGAGGGGAGGACTGATTGATTGGCTCACAATTCCAGGCCACAGCCCATCACTGCTGGGCGTCAGAGTTGAGGCGATCAGTCATGCCCAGTGTCAAGAGCAGAGAGAGAATGAATGCACTCTGGCTAGCACTCACCTTGCTCTCTCCTTTTCCATAGTCTGCAACCTTACGCCTAGGGAGTGGTGCCGCCCGTAGTGGATGGGCCTTCTCACCTTAACTAGCATAACTGGGACAGTCCAATGTAGCCCTGTCCACAGGTCAACTTGATGTAGAAACTCCCTCCTTGAGACTCTCCTCCTAGTGACCCTAGATTGTGTCCGAGTGACAATTTAAACTAAGTATGATGATATAAATGATAGTTTAATTGCACAGCTTGCGGTACTTCTTAAAGGCTCCGGGATTATATAAATATTTGTGTACCTAGCGCCCCTCATGGGGCAGGGAAAGCAAAGTCAGTCTTCTAGATAAGGGCTGAATAGCGGTGGTTTTCAAACCGTGTCCGATGGGCAGCCAGTCTTAGTTTGACTGACAAGATGTGATCTTATCTTATTTTGGCCCAACAACTTAAAACCTGTTTTCCAAAGACTAGAGATCTCTTTTTTAAAAAATATTTATTTATTTATTATGTATACAATATTCTGTCTGTGTGTATGTCTGCAGGCCAGAAGAGGGCACTAGAACCTCATTCCAGATGGTTGTGAGCCACCATGTGGTTGCCGGGAATTGAACTCAGGACCTTTGGAAGAGCAGGCAATGCTCTTAACCACTGAGCCATCTCTCCAGCCCCCAGAGATCTCTTGCTTCAAAGCCACAAGTACTAATTATATAGAGGGTAATCCTTTCCCGACGTGATGAACCGCAGTTAGCAGCCCCTTTGGTTCCTGAGATTCCTCCAGACCACCTCTTTGGGGCTCTTAGTCCACTAGAGAGACATTCTGAGGCAGGGTGAGGAGTGAAGGCTCCCTGCCTGCAGTTCACAGACTTGTCCACCAGGGGCTGCTCTCACGAAGTAAAAGGGATATATGGAGCTAGCTATGAGACATGCCCTGTGTTCAAATGTTGCCTCCACCATGCTCTTGCTGTGTGACTTGGGCTAAAGGTTTAACTTATCTGTGCTTTAGCATCCGGGTCTGCAGGTGGCGGTAACAAATCACGTTTGCTGATGACACAGTGCAATGGTAGAGACCTTGCCTGGCATGTGTGAAAATCGAAGTCCAGCTTCCCCTGTAAAACAAACACGCACAAAAACACACATACATGCACAGATGGACACATACACTCACATACATATCGCACACACATACACACCAGTGTGTACGCATTTATGTACACACATATCACACACACATTCATAATACACATCCACACTTATTCACGCACACCTCTGGACCTCCATTCACACTCAAAGGCACACATGTACACATGCAGATACATCTGTGTGCACACACATACACACATACAGTATATATACACACACACCCTGTGCATATGTGTGCACACACGACACACATACATGTACACACACACCTTCCCTTTCACCTGATCTTTGTGGCATTACAGGAAATCCGTGTTGAGTACTGTAAATACGACCCCACCTGAGATTATGTCACCAGAACATACACAAGCTCTCTCTTTCTCTCTGGCCCAGGCTGCTCTGGCCCTCTTCATTTTGTCATGAATAGATGTGTGTGTGCTCCCTTATGAGCCTACGCATCAGGGTAACACACACAGACACATGTACACACGTGCACACACACAGACACAGACACACGTACACATGCATGCACACACCCCTTCTAAATCATAGGGTTAAAATGTACAGTCGGCTCCCACAGCAAAGAGAGGGCTTTAGCTTGTGCATCTGTGTTTGTTATCACCAACTGTCAACGTCACAAAACTCAAAACGACTGGAAAATCATCTCATTAGGACAGCCCGTGGCCCCATCTGGGAGAGATGTCTGATTGCTAACTGATACAGGAGGGCCCAGCCCACTGTGGGCGGTATCATCCCTAGGCAGACCAGCCTGGGCTGTGTAAAGAGACTGCACATGGTGCTCCTCCAAGTCTGCACCAGGTTCCTGTCATGTCCTGATTGTCTTCAGTGATGAACTATAGCCTGGAAGTGTAAGCCAAGTAAATCTTTCCTCCCAAGTTGCTATTGGTCAGAGTGTTTTATCAGGGCAGCTGGGGTCAATCTAGAATAGCATTGTTCTCTGAATGTTCAGCCTGAAGCCCCAACCCTGCCTCGTCCCGCTGAAGGAGGTTTACCTGCTCCATGTTCCTGCCTAGGTGACTCAGTTTTTAATCCCATCCCTGCCCTGACTTCACAGTCACTGTCTGGGCTCTTCCACTGTAGCCCTTTGTGTGTGTGTGTGTGTGAAAAATGGGATTTATGGATTTTGCTTTATCTGACTCTGTATGTTGTTGCAGTACATAGTCATGGCCAGGAGAGGACAGAAGGAGCCCACTCTATCACCCATGAATCACTGTCCACAGATTTACAAGTCTTATCTAAATAATAGCACACTATGCTCATGTAAAACCCTTCACTACTATCGGGTACTCTGAATGAACTTGAGCTCATTGGTAATGTTGCAGACTTATGTAGGATGTGGTTTAGGGAGGGGGCTGTTTGCAGGGCAGGGCAGGGGCCCCCTGTCCCACACCTTGCGAGCTGGAAATCCTGCTTCTCCCATCCTCAGCTCCCTTGTTCACACAGCTCCTTCCCCCTGGTTCCTACCATTTCTCAGTCTTACCACATAGCCTCACGGTGCTCAGTAATTGTCAAGATTCATTTCCAACCTCAGCCGCCCATGGGACTTGGGCTGCCTTCCTTTTAGGCTCTTAGAGCCCCATATGACTCTTCGAGCCTCCTGTGGGTACATCAGAAAGGAAGCTGAGGGTGGAGGAGGTTTTGTGTTTAACTGGCCTGTGCTGAGTCCACCCTGGATGAACAGAGCAGCCATCTACTCACAGAAGGCTGGAACGGGCTGGACTGCTGGTGTGGACTGTTGCTCATGTACTGAGTGTGCACCTGCACTCAGCACCTCCATTTTATAAGTGACGAGCAAGGCCTAGAGATGTTAAGTTACCCATCCAAGTGCATGGGAGACTAAACCCCAAATCCAACCAAGTGTTAACATAATATACAGTGCCTCTTATTGGGCACCTGCAGAGGGCAGTGTGAGAGGTGCTATGCTGTTTCCCTTTGCAGTTCTCCCGAGTGCCACAAGAGGGTGGTATGGAGATCTGGCCAGGCACTTGGGTTCCAGGTCCAGCTGATTGCCTTTGTCCCCTCCTCTAGGAGATCTCCCCTGACCAGCTGAGCTTGGAGGACCTTCTAGAAATGACAGATGAACAGGTGTGCGAGACGGTGGAGAAGTACGGAGCCAACCGTGAGGAGTGTGCCCGGCTCAACGCCTCCCTGTCCTGTCTTAGGAATGTGCACACATCAGGTAAGCATGAGCAGTCCAGAAGGTCAGGATTATCCCCAGCTGGTCGGCATGGTTCTTTATGCTTCCTGTGCAGGTTGGCAATAAGAGGTTGTACCCTGAAAAGCCACCTCGAGCAGAGATTTGAAAGCAGGCAGGAATTGCCACCCTGCAGAGGATGGCTCACCATAGGTCCTGGGTTATTAGGGTCCTGATGTGGGAACCCTGGGAGATCAGGGTCTCTTCAAACCTCAGATACTGGGAAGTGGCTTTGTGTTCTAAGTAGTAGTTCTGCTCGTTTCTGTGCAAAAACACTGCATTCTTCGTGAGAGAAAGCAGGTTGTAACTGCCCAGGCCCTGACCCCCAGGGACCTGCAGTTTTCACTGTATTTTCTACGGCAATCCTTCCATGCCTACCATTATATTCTCCCATTCTCCCCTTCCTTCCTTCTTCCTCTCTCTCTCTCTCTCTCTCTCTCTCTCTCCAGAGAACTGGTAAGATTATTTAGACATAATATTTTAAAATTCTTTTTCTCCTAAGAAAAATTCTGTGGCTTTGTTTTATTAATAATTTGCAATCTAAATTTGTCATCGTTTTTTTCTGTATCGTTCCAATTAGTCGCTCAAAATTGTGATGCGGGGCTGGGGGTATAGTTCAGTTAGTTGGTAGAGTGTTTACGTTAATGGAGTGTGGTGGTAAAGGATTATAACCCAGGCATTTGGGAGGCAGAAGCCAGAGGACCAGGAGTTCAAGATCATTCTTGGTTACAGAGAGAGTTTGAAGTCAGTGTGGAATACGGAGATTCTGTCTCAAAAGAAAAAGCACGAAAACCCACCGAGTTTATTAGTGGAGTATTAACAGTAGGCTGCTGAAGCTTCCCTACACCTCTGGGCTCTCTGCGAACTGTTGCAAAGACCAGCACTGCCATTCCAGTTCTCACCACAAGGTGGCACTGTCGACCGCAGATCTGGCGCAATCTGGCGGCTGTTAATTCTTACTTTGGTTAGAAAACACACAAACCAGCAATTATGATTTACAGAGTGACTGTTACCTGGCAGTGAACCAGACAGAACCGGTTTCCAGTTCATCTCACAACCATGTTAAGAAAAAGCTAGTTGTGGAGGCATAGGTTTGTGGTTCCAGTGAGGCACACTGGTCAGCCAGCCTGGCCCAGGCAGCCAGCCAGTTGAGTGAGAGACACAGTCTCAAACAATAACAAAACAAACAAAACAAAACAAAAACCTGAGGTAGACGGCGCAACAGGAAAGCTGTGGTCAACACTGGTCTCCACATGAGTGTGCAAACATGTATATGTGTATCCTCCCACCAAATTGCGCCAAATCACTATGGGAACCCAGAAATACCTTTGTGCCTAAGAAACGTGTTTCCTGCTCATCTGTGTTCTAACAGCCCTCCATACATGTAGAACACATTGTGCACACAGCCAAGGCATGTTTCCTGACACATGACCCAGCCTGGCAGGCACACGGGGAGACAGACATGTCAGATTCGTTCCCCTTGCATCTGTATCGTCGCCATTTGTATGTGTGTGGTGCTGGTGACTGGACCCAGAGCCTTGACCCTGCAGGCAAGCACTCTACCACAGAGTTGCATCCTGACTGTATCCCATACCCTATGTCAAATGCTGGCCATGACCCTCTGCTCACACTTGTCGCTTAGGGTTGTGAGCTGTGTCCATCTATGCTTTGAGGGGGAGCTGAGGGGTCAAGAGTGTAGTAATAAGAGCGGTAGCGGGGCTGTGTCCCCAACACCCCAGCCGCCTGCTAGCTTATGGCCGAAATAACAACACACAAACTGTATTCATTTAATTACTGCTTGGCCCATTTCTATCTAGCCTCTTCTAGGCTAATTCTCACATATTAATTTAGCCCATTTCTAATCATCTGTGTTGCGCCCTTAGGTGTGCTTACCGGGAAGATTCTAGCCTATGTCCATCCTGGGTCGGAGCTTCATGGCGTGCGTCTGCCCAGGAGCCAGGAGCATGGCATCTCTCTGAGGCGTCTGCTCCCGAGAGGAGAGCTGTTGAGTCTGAGCTCACTTCCTCTTCCTCCCAGCGTTCTGTTCTGTTTACTCCTCCCACCTATCTTCTAACCAATAAAATGGGCCAAGGCAGTTCCTTTATTAGCCAATGACCTTCCTCCATCACAAGAGGATTTACGCTCTTTCAGAGGATCCTGGTTTGAGGGCGAGCTCCCACATGGTGGCTCATAACTGCCTGTAAACCAGCTCCAGGGGATCTGATGCCCTCTTCTACCTCTGCAGGTTCCTTCAGATATGTGGTATGTACTCACGCACGAGCACACACACACACATACACGGGCATGTACACACAAAAATATATATACACAAAAAGACAGACATGCACACAGACACACACACACACACACAGACACACACACACACACGCACATTTTACACCTTTAGTACCAGAATTTGAGAGGATGAGGCAGGTGGATCTCTGTGAGTTTGAGGTCTGCTTCCTCTGCATAGCAAGTTCAGGGTAGCTAGGGCTACACAGTGAGACCCTATCTTAAAAAGTTAAACCAGCCAGGTAGTGGTTAATCCTAGCACTTGGGAGGCAAGGGCAGGTGGATCTTTGTGAGTTCAAGGCCAGCCTGGTCTACAAATCAGGACAGCCAGAACTAGAACTATACAGAGAAACTCTATCTTGGGCGGGGGGGGGGGGGGGGAGGTGACCAAGACAACAACAACAAAAACCAAAACTAAACCAACCAAACAACAAAATTAATATTTAAAAAAATCATTTATTTAATGTGCGTTGGTGTTTTGCATGCCTGCATGTCTATGTGAGGGTGTCAGATCCCCTGGAACTGGAGGTACAGACAGTTGTGAGCTGCTATGTGGGTGCTGGGGATTGAACCCAGGTCCTTTGCAAGAACAGCCAATGTTCTTAACCTCCGAGCCACCTCTCTAGTCCCCAAAATAAATTTTAGAAAAAGGAAAAAACCTCTCACCTCAAGTGCTTCTGAAGTTTCCATGACAACAGCATATGCTATGTCCTGCTTCTTGTGACAGCCACTGAGCTGGGTTCTGGACAGCACTGGGTATGAGCTGCTCTGCCCAGCTCTTGACACATGGGACCAAGGCCAGTGGTGCTCAGACCTCTTGGGGAACAATGCCCACTGCCCCCCACCCTTCTGTGGTACCCACAGGTGGCTGTGTCACCACGTCGTATGTTTTGCCTTTCATTGGGTGCCCCTTTTTCATAGCCTGTGCACCTATGTTTGCTGTGTGCTCCCAGGGTAAGGGATGATATCTGGTACACAGTTAGAGATGAAAAATCATTTGAGGCCCCCTTCCCTTTGCCTGCCCATGAAAATCCAGCTGTGGCTTGATTTTCCAGGGACCGAGGACATCTAAGGATTTGGCTTCTGCATGGACTGCGTTCTCATGTTCCTTTCCAGCCTTAGCATGCATATTTTAGATTTCTTTATTTGTGTATATGTTTGTATATGTGAATGCATGGTCTATGCACATCTGTGTGTGTGTGGATGTGTCCACCTGGGTAGAGCACAGAAGGGCGCCCCAGTGCACCCCTGAGGCAAGGCCTCTCCAATAGGAGGCAGCAAGATCCAGCAATCCTGTCTCCATGCTCCCCAGGGTTGGGGTTCTAGGCTTGTGCCGGACGCCTGGTTTATATCTGTGAGCTTGGATCTGACCTCCAGTGCTGACTCATGGCAAGCAGTCTGTGCTGAGCCATCTCTGCGGACCCTAAAAGCTCGATGACCCACTAATTCTGCAGCACCCCAAAGGAAGTATGGGTGTCCCATCTCACACTTGCCCCTCTGTCCAGAGCTCCCTGCCGCTCCCCATTCATATCCTCAGACCCAAAGTCTGGCACTCCAGAGTGTTTTTCTTCCTGGACCCCACAAACTGACCTGAGCTGACCCCTGACCCTTGACCCCCTAAGAATGTCACATACATTCATCGACCCCCAACGGCTGTGCCATAGAGTCCCTCCCCACCTCTCCTTCTGCCTCTCACCCTAGTTTTGTCCTGGCGAATTTTACCCTAGCTACAGTGAACTCCTTGGTTTTCCGTTAGTACAGCTGACTGGATTCTGCCGTGAGGCTCTGCCCCTCTGTAAATGAATGAACACATGTTTCCGTCACGCATGCCTCATGGCGACTGTTTTCTCATCTGGCGCCCTCACTGGAGCAGCGCTGTCCTGTAGACACAGCTGCTGCCTCTGGCTCTTGGTCCTCAGCATCCTGACCAGGCTGAATCAATTCTTTAATGTGGGAAAAATTGCAGGGAGGAGCCGCATGCTGTGCCTGCCATAGATAACCACCAGGGGGCAGCAGAGAACCAGCCACTATGATTCCTTCCCGTTTTCAAGGCTAATGCCTTCCAAAATTGTAACTAGTTACTTAAAGAGTCTGGTCTCCCCCTCCAGACTCTTCCATCCCAGTGACTGCAAAGCCCCAGAGGGAGCAGTCTGGACCTCATGCTGGGGGATCAACCCGGGGCTGAAACTAAAGGACGAGCCCCCATTCAACACGCAAGGGCCCCTCAAGCCAGGGCAGCTTAACCCAGTAGATCTGGGGCGGCCCAAAGAACTCATCAGAGAGCGCTAGCACGTGCTATTTGTACTGTGGAGACAGGTGCTGAGGGGTCTGTGGTTATGTTTTCTGTGGGCCGAGGACCGAGCAGGGCCAAGGACAGCAGCATGCACAGTGCGTGGTGTGGCCGGATGGTGGTTGGTTGTGCCTGGCTGGAAAAGCTCAGCAGGCCATGGGGGTGGCAGGATCTTTGGAACAGGTGGTGGTGGCGGCTGTCACACGAACAGGGGTCATGGTGTGCCACCAGCTACCTTGCTTTCTCCCTTTCCAACTTCTTGTTCCTTCGGGGATTTTTATTCTTTTATTTTTTGTAATATGGTCTTAAGTAGCCCAGGCTGTCCTCAAACTTAACTCTGTAGCTCAGGCTGATCCTCCTGTCTCCACCTGCCAGGTGCTGAGGCTGCAGATGTATGTCCACA